TATATATATATAACTCATACACATCATCTTATACTTTTAACATTTTCAATTTTTAATAGGTTTTTTCTCCTAAATTTTTAAAATAGAAAATAAAAATACATTAATTCTAAAGAAATCGTAAAAATATTTTTTTATTATTTATATTTATCATGAAAAGAAAATAAAAATATACATTAATATGATATATAATTGTTGAATATTTTAACATATTTAAAAAAAATTATCTTTTAATCTTGCTTTTAAATATTTAAATAAAATATTTTAAAATATTTATTTAATTGAATCTTCATATGCTTAATTAATAATGTATTTCTATAAACTTGCATTCTTAAATCAATAGTCTTTAGAATTTTATTTTTTATAATTAATTTTCTAAATTTAATATGTGATTTACTCTTAATCAACTATATAATTATATTTTATTACATATATTTATTGTAAATGGAGAAAACATATAGTTGTAAAATAAGTAATTATTTTTGTATTAATACTCATCTTCATAATTAAAAATTATTATTTATTTCATATATTACACCAGACTCGTAACAAATTTCAGTGGATGTACATAATTAATTTATCATGAAATAATTATTTGATATTTTTTAAATTTTACAAAATTTTCCATTAAAATAATTTAAATATGTGATTAATATGTTTTAATTGAATTATTAAAACCAATCTAATGATAAAAGTTAAGATAGATATATCATTAAAAATTTAGATTAATTCTTATTATTGTTGTAATCATTATTAAAAAAAAGTAATCTTTATTAACTCTATCTATTAAAAATTAAGTTTATTAAATATGCATGTAAAAGTTTCATTGTTGTGAATTAATAAAAAAAATTTTAATATAATCTTTAATATAAATATTATAGAATTTAATGGTGATGTAGTGATTAAAAAAAATAGTTTTATACAGTCATTTATTCATAATTTGTTATAATATATTTTTTTAATTTTTATTATAATTGTAAGACCGCAAGCTTTTTTCTCTCTCTTCCCATTTCCTTCTCTTAAACTTCATTTATTTTTTTGTTGATTCTCAAGGTTGTTGAGCAATTGGTGTGCTAGGGAGCTTTTGATGGAGCCAAGTAGGTGAGATGAAGTGATGATTCCTCCTTGCTTGGTTCCGCAAATGATCTTAGTCTTTGAGTCCACAATTCTGGAAAGAAAGTAGGAGAAGGAAGCTAGATTCAGATGAACCAAACCTTAGATTGAAGCACTCAAGCTAAGAGTGCAAGGGATTGCTCACGAAATAGCTTTAGAAGTGGAGGATTCCTAAAGCTAAGCTAAGCAACTAAAGAGACTCTTAGAGAGAAAATGGTTGAAGAATGTATTCAGATTTCTCTATGCTCAAAAGTGATTACACAAGGGAAGGTTCACACATTTATAGCCACAGATTCTACTCAAATTTGGCGCCATCTCAAAGCTCACAAGTTGGCGTCGGATTTTGAATTCAAATTTGAAATTTGAATTCAAAATTCGTGATCACCCATGTGCTCATCAAGTGACCGGCCAATTTGAATCTCTAAATTACATTTAGATGTAATTTAGAGTGCATTTATTTAATCACATGTGCAACCACCCTTAGCACAAATCATGTGACTCAAATGCAACTTTATTTACTTCTAAATGTAATTAGAATCCTAGGTACCATATTGGGTACCAAAAGCTCAAAGGCCCATGAAGCCCAAAACTAGGCCCATTAAGCCTAAGACCCAAAATTCCTATACTAGAGGACCATAATACAAAACCAACAAATATGAAATCCTACACTACTCAAAACACAATAAAGATGGTGGTCCATGTAAAGCCCATGTGAAGAGTACCTTGGGCCCACCAAGCCTATTGGGCCCACCAAGCTCTGAAGTAGTCAAATCTTCCGGTAGTCTCCTTCCCATAGCTCTAGTGGTTGGACTCTTGGTCCATGCTCTTCCATCAGCTTTGAAGCCCGGAGTCGGATTCTCATTCCATTTTTCTTCTTCTTCTTCTTCTTCAACCTTGGAATAGCCCGGAGTTTGTCGTTCACTTCATTCGAAGGTAAAGGAAGCTAAAATTTTGGGGTTTTGGGTTGAAAACGTGGGGCTATTGAATGAATTGAAGGTTTAATGTTGATAAATTGATGAAATATGCAGTTGTAGGGTTTGATTCAAGAAATTTTATGTTGAAATTGGGGTTTGTGGTTGTTCTTGATGTGAGATTGAAATGTGATGATTTCCTTGAGTTGTTGTGAATGCATGTTGCTTTTCTTCTGAATTTTGAGTTGTATGTTGTTGGGGTTGAAGGATTTTGAGGTTGTATGTTTTGATCATTGCATGGGTTGAGAGGATTTGGAGATCGAGTTGTTCATCTACTGGTATAATTTCTGGGTTTGGGACGCTAAGCATGGGTTTTCACGCTTAGCGTGACAGTTTGAAAATGCTGCTGGAAATCTGAGGATGAGCATGGGATTCTACCGTGAGCATAGGAATGGGTTGTGCCTCTGTAAGACTGACGTTGAGCGTGATTTTCACGTTGAGTGTGGGAGTGAGTTTTGCCTTTGGAAGGCTGAGTATGAGCTTCTACATTTAGCATGAGGACTTAGTTTAATAAATTTCTTTTTGAATTAAGTTGGTTGCTTACATGATGGATGAGTTGTATGTTGAAATATTTTTGTTTGAGTTGTATTATTGTTAAATGATGATGAATAAGTTGTAGAGAGATGTTGTATGATAAGGAATTTTAGGTGTTGAGTGTTGATAAGTTATATGTTGGTAATTCTGTTGTGAAGTTGTATAGTTGTGTTGGGATATTACATGAACAATGTTCATGTGTCATTTAGATGTATGATGAGTAGAAAGTCGAACATTAGTACTGATGATTGAGTTGTGAGACGTTGAGATGCATGTTGAGCATAGTGTTGTAAATGAGCTGTGAAGTTGAGTAGCTGAATAGAGATGATATATGAGTTGAAAAGTTGTGTGTTGACTGAGTTGTTGTGCTAAAAATATAATGAGTTTTTGTGTTGTTATTCTAAGTTGTTGAGTTGAACTATGTTGCTGAGTTATGTGTTGATTGAGCTGTAATGATGAGTTGTTGATCACTAGGACTAGGAGATATGTTTTTGAAATGACCCATCCCATTGTGCGGATTGAGATAGTTGTGGTGCTTTGAGAGTCCAATTTATTGAAAAACCCTCCTTGGGAAGTTGCCCTTGGAGTGTATGTTGTGTTGTTCTCCTCTGGGATTTAGTTGATCCTGTGTGTGGGTAAGGTTGAGACACACATGTATGAAGCGACCACGGTATAGGGACCAAGTCAAGCTATACCAATTACAAGTGGCCAATTCGAGTAAAGTACGAAGTCAAGAACTTAGTTCCTAACCGAGTATCAAAGGGTTATAGTATTTAGAAGATAGTCAGTAGGCTAATCCCATAGGTCGCTTAGTTGAGCTAGCTAATGTCGTGATAGGCCTAAACCCAACTATCATATCCTAACATAATATTATACTTCCTTGTTTAAGTGGCAAAGTCTAAGAAACCGTTATCGTGTTGTGAATTTTAATCCAAATTTGTTGTTTACCTAACAAGCCCAAAAAGGTTCTGCATTGTTGGTTCGGTAGGACCTAGCCACTTAAATTGCTCACTCTGTGTTGTAGAAATCTCCGAGTTGAAATGCATGATGACGCATATGTGTTGATACAATGTAGATATGTGTTGTATTGTTGAAGTGTTGTTAAGATGTATAGTATATGTGTTTTTTGTTGCTTGCAATGGATATGAAAATGAATTTATGTGTTGATGTGTTGCATACTTAATTATATGAGTTGTTTATTTTACCTAGCTTACCCTTGCATGTTTCCATATGATTTGGACTGCGATGATCATACGTTGTATGTGAGTAGGGCATTGATAGGCTGGAGAGTAACAATGGAGCCCACAAGTGCGGTGCTTGAAGTTGGATTTTATTTTGTAGACTATCGATTGTTGGTAGATACTTTTGCATAGATATTTGTATATACTTGCTAGGCAAGCAACACAGTTGTTCATATTCATGAGATGTAGATGTACTTATATTATATTACTGTTTCGGTATATATATATGCGTGGTTATTTGTGTGTTACGTAATGTGATGACCATGACGAGTCATTACAACAACCATCTTACAAATTATATAAATTTATGTTTTTTAACTAATTGATTTTGTAAAAAAATTTATGTTGATAATATATGAGTATTAAACTCAAGATTATAAAGTAAATTATGTTCATACTCTTGAAATTTTATAAATCCTTATATTTTAATAAATATTACATTAACACCCTTATATATAAAATTAATTTATACATATTAAATTATTTCTTTAATTATTTAAAAAAATAATATTACATCTAATTTTAATTATAAGAAATAAATTAAAATTTTCTATCTTAAATATAAGCGATGATCATCTATTTTTAAAATTACTCAAAAATAAATTTCTTTTATAACTTAATTAATTGTTAATTTTATTCTCTGTATATTCACTTATAATTAATACTAAATATAATAGTTACTTAAAATGAAAAAATATTTATAATTAAATTGGAATTTATTATAATATGTTAGTTTAGAATTTTAAAATAATAAGAAATGATTACAATTAAAAAAACATTTGAAAGAAAATTTATTTTCTTGGAAACAGGGGTTACCAAAGTATGTGTTGTGTTATTCAGTGTTTGTTTAGAAGAAAGGGGTTTCGTGTTGGTACCGTTATTGTTGGAGTGAGTGAGTGGTACACACGAACACAACATGAAGAGCATGGTATCGCCATTGACGAGGGTCTCACCCTTTTGTCGCCGAAATGGCCAAAATGCCCTTCTATTCTCTCCCACTTTCACACGCTACCCTTCTTCACCTAACACAGACACTTTCTCCCCTCTCACTCTCACTCTTTCCATGGCTGCTTCACCCCAATCCTCAGCTCCGGTAACTCCCTTTCTCCTCTTTTCTTCCACCCAATTCAACGCTTTTTAGCTTCCTCGCTTCAAAATTTTAACTTTGACCCACCTTCTGAATTGCTCAATGATTCAAATTCTTTTCTCTTTCTGTGATGATCGTTGTTCATGAATGAGATAATGATGTTGTGCTATTGATGCGTTATGAATCAGACTGTGTCGCCTGGTGATGTTAACATGGATAAAGATGGTGTCTTTCAATTGATTCAAGCACATCAGGTATTTTTTTTATCGGTTATCAGTTCAATTCAGTCTATTACGTGTGAACTTCGAAGTAGTTGAAATGGAACATTTATTTGTCCGTGATTGGTTGTGTTAATTTATTGGGGTTGTTTTGATATGATAGGAAAAAGCTGCTAGACTTCCACCAGTTGAGGAAATTCGAACTGTCCTTGATCGTAGCGTGCGTGGGATGCTCTCTACATTCTCTAAGGTTTCTGTGCTTTCCTGCAATGACTTGTACAACTGCTAGTCTTTTTTTCTCTGTGGTTAAAAGTTTGGTGATCATAGCTTAGTGTAATTCATGAGAATAAAAAGCTTAGGGTGTGTTTGGTTTCTACTTTTAGAACTGTTTTTAGGTTTCAACAAAAAAAAAAGAAAAAAGACACTTGCACCAAGTTTATGCGTCACATGCAGCATCAGTCTAGATGGCTCATTCCCTTAAGCTAGGATCACATAACAGAAGAAGAAAATGTCAAAAAATAAAAATAAAAAATCTCCCAGCTGTTTCTATTTTTTGATTTTTAGAAACACTTATTTTTGGAAACAATTTTCAAAACACCATGTATTTTTTATGAGAAATAGATTGCCGAGTAGTATGAACTATATTTTCTAAATAGTTTTTAAAATAAAAAGTGAGAAGAAAATCAAACAAGCCATAAATTATCTTCTCTGATGTTGAAATGAACTGCAATCGCCTTTGGAAAATAGAAAAATTGTGTTAGCATATAGCTATCGACTTTCCTGATGAGGTATGGAGAGTGGACATTTTGCCTTGATGAAAATTTTGTGCTGCCCTTTCTTTCTTGCCTGAATGTTCAGTTTTCTCTGGTACTAAAAGACTGATGGAACTGCAAACATCCTTCCCACTCAAGTAACAACATCAATAACAAAATCCTAGTTTGGCAGATCAATGAATTGAAACCTGGTTGCCTTTTGTGCTCTTATATTTTGAATGGAATTTTGTTTTAGTGTTTATTGGAGGACAACTTAACTCTTGTCATTTGGTCTACTTGTGATTTTTAACATGCAGAAGTTCGAGAGTTATCCATCAGGGTCTATGGTTGACTTTGCATGTGATGCAAATGGATATCCTATATTGGCAGTGAGCGACCTGGCAGTTCATTCAAAGGTTTTTCTTTTTTCTTTCTTCCTTCAAAATTTCCTATTGTTAGAAAATGATAAATTAAATAATTTAATGATTAAAACTGCTTCTGATTGCGAATTGACTTCATAAGTAATAGAATTTGATGTTGAATGTGGTTTTGTGAACTGGCCTATATATAACCATCCAGTTCATACATAGTGCTGAGTTTGGCTTGTGCAATACTGCAACTTCAATTCAAATCTTATTTTTCATGTCCTCAACCAGCACATGGTCTTGTTAACAATTATAATTCATGAGAACACCTTATGCAACCAACACCTACCCAGTTAAAAGCTTGCTTCCTTTGCTAAAGAATCTTTTTTTTGCAGGACCTAACTGCCAATCCTAAATGTTCATTGCTTGTGGCTAGAGATCCTGAAGATAGGACTGATTTAGTGATTACTTTACATGGTGATGCTATCGCTGTGAGTTATGATCTTCTGTTTATTTCACATTTATACATTGTTTCTTTTTGTGTTTTCATTTCCTTTTACTATTGCATATTAGATAACATAGTTATTATATTACAGAATCATTATATGAATGTTTTGAAATTTAAATGCATTGGTGAAATTTTTTCCAGGTACCTGAAAATGATAAAGAAGCTGTTCGAGCTGCATACTTGGCAAGACATCCCAATGCATTTTGGGTAAATTTGTTAATCATTCTTCTCTGTAACTCATGCATTTTCCTTCTGCTTATTGTTGTATTATTAACAAGTATAAAACCTTCCAATATTGAAGGTTGACTTTGGAGACTTCCGCTTCTTGCGCATTGAACCAAAAGTTGTACGATTTGTGTCAGGTGTTGCCACAGCATTGTTAGGATCAGGAGGTTTGTTAACCACGCCATTTTTGATGGTTTAATATGCTGTAAAATGCTATTGTGCAAGGTTACTCTAGTTATGTTTGGGTGGAGTTAATTGGAGGGGAAGGGAAGGGAGGGTTAACTTTTCATTTAAGTAAACGTTTTGCTTTTTTTTTTTTTAACTAAAGATATATTAAAAGATTATTGTGTAAACTTCTTGTCATGTTCAGAAAGTAGTTTGTTAGAGTAACATGATAGAATAATGGTAGTGAGCTGGGCAATTAAAGTATTAGGGGTAGGAAGTTAGTTTAAATAGGAGGATAGGGTAGAAAAGAGGGGGGGAGGGGCTTGGAGGGAATGGTTAAAGGATTATTCGTTAAGGTTGAAGCCTTGAAGGTAATGGTGATTTTCAGGCTATAGGTTTTAGGGTTAGATTTGTGGGCGTTTGGATGGCATGAAGTTGAGAGAAAGCTCTTTTGACATGAGCTTGTCTCTAAAGTGAGCCACGGTGTATTCATTCTTGATTTAATTTGAAGTGTATCGTATTGTGATCTTAACCTGCTAAGACTTAAGAGTGGTTTTATCCTCATTTACTTACTTTAGAGAGTCTTTTTCAGATGAGTTTTTCGTTCATTGCCTTGTGAAGGTTACCTGCGGGTTTCCTAAGAAACACTTGAGCATTTAAGTGACCAAAGCATCCTGACTCCTAGTATATTATGAAAAAATACAACCACCCCAGAATCAAAACTAAACCAAAGTACCTAGACCATTCTAATTTTAAGTTGAGGATTTCTTGATAATGGTGCAATCTGCATCATATGGGATGACAAGAACTGTCTTTTGAGTAGGTTTCTTTGCTTGAAAGCTGTACTGTTTTTCTGATTTTAGGATAGCTTTTCATTTTCATTGCAAAGAAAGTGTAATAAATCATTGCATTTTGGGATAAAATTTTATCTTCAATATCTATTTAATTGTTGTTGATCATAATAATTTGCCATGTCAAGGAGGCTTCAGGAATGAGCGAGTATCATCTCTGGACTATAAGTGAATTTCATGTGTTCTCTTTTCATCCTTTGCACTATTATGTCATGCCTTTCTTTTAATTTTGATTTCCAGAGTTTAGTAGAGATGAGTATAAATCTGCAAAAGTTGACCCCATAGCTCAGTTTTCCAAGCCAGTGGCGGTAGTGATCTCTGACTGACACATGTTACACATTTACAATGACTTTCAGAAGTTGGACAATTTTTATTCTAACATAAATTGTGTTATTTAACAGTCTCATATGAACAAAGATCATGCTGAAGATAACAAAGTGATTGTGCAGCATTGGACCTCAGTTCCAGTATGTCATCTTGACCATTCTACAGTATAGAATATAAAAAATAAAAGAGGCTCTTTAATTCAATTGCTAATATCATGTAAAATTACTTTGTTAAACCATTATGCAGTATGATATGAGAGTAAAATTCTGTGGGGTGTCATATGAACAAGCATGAAAGAATCTATGAGGATGTATGATTGCCATGTATTATGTTCTGGAAACAATATATTGACCCAAATCCTTGCTACTTGTCTGCGAGAGGAGGGGCTGATGATATTAAGCCTTAATTTAACTGAATTTATCATCATCATCTGCAGGTGGACTTTGCCTATATACTGGATTTGGATAGTCTTGGTTTCAATGTCAAGGTATTGCCTTCGTTATGTATTTTTAATATCATTTAATTGTTTTTCCTATTCCTTTAGAACTGTTTTTTTATTTTAAAAAATTACAAATTTTGATGAATGAAGTCTTTGTTAAGTTGGTCCTTTCAGCAGTCTTTTTTCCTCACCTTCAGATTTTTAATGGTTTTTCAAGTTTGAAATCTGTACATTATTTATTTGAAGATTTTTTTTGTAGGCTGGTTATCAGGGTGATACTTTCAAGCTTCGTGTACCTTTCCCTCGACGTGCAGAAAATAGAAAGTGAGACATCATATTTGATATAAATTCCCATCTCCTGCAAAAGAAGAACATGTTAACATTCATTAGATCAAATATGCAATTCCATTTTCTTGTGAACTTTGATGAAGATGATAGCATTACTGTATTAGTCTAGCCTTTACTGTTCAGTTGATTAAATTTTTTGCTGTTAATCTGACAAATACCACTTTTCTATCTTTTATCATCCTTTTGGGGTGCGATTAATCATGTCCATGCCACGGACTCCTTGCTGAATAAATAGGCTGTGACCTTCCTATTGCCATGGACTTATGGTTTTCCGATAAGGAATTAGGCAGAATAACCATTCCTGCAGCACGTTGGTTTTTTTTCTTCTTTTTCCTGCAGAAAAGTGATGTTTTTACTGTTTTTCTCTCAGGGATGTGAAGACTCTCATTGTTGAAATGCTTCAAGCTGCTAGGCCTAAAGCTGATTGATTACTCCACAGATCATTGATGAACAGGTGCTCATCCAAAATTCTTCTATTCCTTTAATTCAATTCATGTGCTTTGATCTCCAAGGTTTGCCATTTTTCTTCATTCAAAGATTAGTTGGCCATGCTTTGCAACTAGACATACCACATAATTATGAACTCTATTTATGGAAAATACTTGCATACGTATTGTTAAGTTTTTGGTCTGTTACTTTCATGACCAACTAGTTTAGTTTTTTGTCAATTCACATCTCTTTGATAATCCTTAAATTGAGTTGCCTGGTTTGGTAGTCAAAGGAGCGTTTCCAATCTTATTTTGCAAGCTTTATTTTGAGAGGCTTCTTTCTGTTCTCATCCTTTTCTGTTTGAAACGCTGCAGCACCTGCTAGACATCCTTCTTGGGGAGAGGACAAAATATCCACGTCAAAAAAGTAAATGCAGTTATATTTTCCGAAGATAAAGATGGCAAAGCAAATGGTTGACTTTATTTCTTGTATATACTGTTTGAGATTTTAATGAGTTTTGAAAACACTTGAAAATTCAGACATACAAGTGTGTGATATTACTCAAAAGAAACATACCCTTTATACATAAATGATTTTATGTGAAATTCTTCCATATGCACTCTTTTAGAGAGTTGAAACAGTGTATGATTAATCTTTTTGAGAAACAACAATAATTTATTTATGGTTGCATACAACAGTAAGTTGTGATTTGGATGTTTTGCCATCTCCTAAATAATCTTCCAATTCGGGAGCACGTACTTGATAACGAATTCAAAGAAAATGAGCACATAGAAACTACATTTGTGTATGAGAGAAAATACAGCAAAGTCACTGATGATTTATGTTCTTTGACATAATGGGAACAGTGGCTCTTGCTGACAGAATGTTATGTCAATCAAGTTTGCTAAACGGCCAAGGAGTTAGCCCACACTGACATTTTTTAGATGTAGCTTTTGTTGCTAAAGAAAGCACTACACCTAACGGCTTCTAGAACTTGTTATCATTGTTTAAGAGAAACCTTTCACTTATAATTATAGCTTGCAGTCCCGGATGGTGAGGAAGTATAACTAATTTAATCTAAACAAGCTGTAAAAATTAGAATGTGTTTGGATAACCATAATCAATGTTGTTGAACTTAATGAGACACAAAACTTGGTTCTATGTTTCATCTTTTGGATATGTTGAACCTAACGATGTGCGTTTGGATTTTCATTTTAACACACTAAATGTCTGTTGATGTCTATCAAGAGATAAACTTTTCTGTTTAAGTGCATTAGAATGTGAGAACAACACGCTATATTGTTTTTTTTCTTGAAAAGAGGGAAAGTCTGCTCTGAGTGTTGAGCAATAATTAAAACATATTTTTGTAAGTTTTGTTGTTTTACAAAACATATCATATCAATGCATATTCATAACTCTAATTCAAGAAAACTATTAATTCAAGTTTTTTAATATTAGTCACTACTAAACGATCTTTAAATAAACGATAGGACATTATGGAATGCGATGTTCAAATATTTTAATGTAAAATGTTTTGTTCTTTTATCAAATTAATAGTTATATGTTTTTAAAGCAAAGATATTTAAATTATTCTAGAAAAAACTTAAAGGAGAGATATTTGACAAGAAGGGGGTAGTAGTTGATTGGTGCGCACGACGAAAGCACAGCGCGTTGAAACAGGTCTAAAAGCTAGCTAATGGAAATTTGAAAAATGCTACCTTCAAAGATGCACGTTTTTGCATAGCTGTCTTCGGTGTTAACAAGTCAAATTTTCTTATATTCATATGAATTCATGAAACGGTTCACTCTTATTATATACTTTTATTCATAATCAGTGATTTGTTCACCATGCGTTTTTTGAATGACAAAAGGTCAATTTTTGTTGCAAGTGACAAGAGATAAACTACAATTTATCCAAATTTCATATCCAGCAAAGAACTAGGGTGACAGATCTCTTGTCCCATTGTAGCTGAAAACAAAAGCCGACCAACACCAAAAGGGAAATACTTCCTGCCCTTTCTTTTCTCGGCGATCAATTTCTTGCGCTGTGAACAGACCTAAATCCTTTGTTTCTTATTCATTTTCGCTGAAAATTAAAAAAATATAAAGTTATAACAAAAACGTTGCACTTGCACTTGCACTTGCACTTCTCCCCTATATAACCTTTCACGTGTCACAACTACCTTCCTCAAAAATGCTGTGAAATCCTTCATAGGGTTTTGACGGATCATGGAAATTTCGGTGGCAACTGGCATACACACTTAACTTCCTAGCTTGAGCACGTTCCGCAATAGGCCTAATTGATTATGTTTGCAAAATTGAGATCGAACTATGACGCATAATCGTAGTTATAATATATTATACCATAATCTAGACCATTTTAAAAGTAAATACTCTAGTCCGTTTAATTTTCAACCTCAAGCTTAAAATAAAGCATTTAGTGGATATGTATATAAATTGGTCCACGATTGCGGAGACTCGGATCAATTCGTTTTGAGCAAGATCTCATCAACACCAGTGTTTAGATAGACACAACAAAATGAGTGAGATACCTTGCTGGTACCTACTAGATGATGCTTTATTTGGCCTCATGCTACCTTGCTGAATGATTGATATGCCTGAGGCTTACAATCCTTCAAGTATTATTTATTTTCCTTATTGGTTATCCTCACCCTATCTTTTATAACTTTCAAGCTTCTGACGGTCAAAAACTATATGATTCAATGGCAACATCCAAAGGTACATCATAATGCTATGTCGGCAGACTACAAATGTGGGGCACAGCATATGAATAAATGGGTTTGCCAAAAGATCATTCGATCTTAAATGTTTCTCAGCAAAAAAAATGAGAGAAAAACGAGGGTTGCTGAACTTGAGGAGTGCACGCCACAAAAAACAAAAAAAGAAAATCCACTATTGGATCAAAGGGAGAAGGAGATGAAGAACAATAGAAGGTGAGAAATAATTTTCTTAATTAATTGAAATGGATCGGATCGGATCAATCTTACTTGTTTACAAAAAAACATGAGGGGGCCAACATACAAGCCTTCCAAATTTTCTTGAGAACACAAATATAAAAAACTTGAATCACCATCATCAATTCAAACATCATCACCATCTCCAAAACATTTCAAGCTTAAAAGGGCTTTTCCCCCTCTTGTCGATCTACTCAATTGTTCTTGCATCATCATTCAGAATCACTCTCCATGCTTCCCATAGCCTTCAACCCTCTTGGTCTCTGCATCCAGAAGAGAATAAATAAGGCGTGTGGTGTTATACACAAGTTGTGGAATTTAGATCTAGAAACAAAAAAAGCAAAGGTGAGGATATAGGGTAAGAACCACACAAAAGCACACCCCACCAACCACGTACCTTCTTGTTACTTTTCTTCTCCCTAACTTCATATCTCTCTTGGCACATATCAGTCAACCACGCACCAGGACTCACCAACTGTAACCCAACACCAACAAACAAATGGACAAGGTGATGAGAAGAATAAAGATCCAAACCCTAATCAAATAACCCACCACAATTTCCCCCTTTTCCCAAAAAAAAAAATAACTTTTTTACAAGGGGAGAGAGAGAAACAAAACAAAACAAAACAAAATAGCTTACAAGTAGGCTTCTTTGGATGATCTTAGCCCTCTTTTTGGGTCGCTGAGGAAGCTTGCAACCCTTCATGGCGAGAAAATCCTCTTCTTTCTCCTTGCTGGAGAGAGTGATGTAAAGCTTGGGCCAAACTAGGGCACGTTCCTCGCCGTTGTTGCCGTCGCCGGAGACCTTGCCGTTCTCCTCCGCCGAACCCCTCATCGTGTAGTACCGGTCTTCCTTCTCCGGCGACGCCGATTTCCTTGTATCGCCGACCGAGGACCGGAGAATCGCCCCGTCGGAATTCCTGCACCCAAATTTTCCGTCAAAATTCACCAAAAATGATGAAAAAACGCAAATTTCAGACATTATTGCAGAATTAACAGATCCGTTGCCCCTTTAATTCAGAAAAATAGAAAAACACACAAAAAACAGTTCCGCCCATAGAAAACGCGCTTACCCCATCTGGGTAGGTTAAAAAAACTAAATTTTCACATCATTACATCACGAAAAACCCCTATTTATTATGGAAGGAAATTAAAAGAACAAAATGACAAAAAAATGTTTTTTTTTCTCCCTTGCCTCCTCATCCTCTGAGATAATCCCCAGCACCCAAAAAAAAAAAGGGAAACAAAAACACCATTATATTACATCAATCGAAACCCCACTTTTCTCCTCTTAAATCAAACAAAACGAAAGAAAAGTGATGAGGGAAAAAAATAAATAAAAAAGGTTGTCATTGATGCTGTGCTTAATTGCTTCTCTTCCTCAAAGTTTCTGAGTACCCAACTAGAGAGGAAACAGCATCATTACATTCCACCAACCAAAATCACATCATCTTCTCTGAGAAAAGAGTAAGAAGGGCTCAAAGGGGAGAAAAAAGAAAACTATGAGGAAACCCGAAACCCCTTAGTTGCTGTTGTGGTGAGCACCTTGTGAGGCGATTAGGTTGATGATGGTGATGATTATGATGAGAGGCTTCTTTCTCAGCCACAGTGACCCCAGAGCGATGATCCACCGCAGAAGCAAGTTTCCTTCTGATTCCACCGTTGAGCCTGGCTGAAATCCGAGGGTCCTTCACCCTCACACATCTCAGACGCTTCCTGTTCCCCCACTGCAAGAAAAACTCTGGCTCCGAACCCTTGAACCCCTTCTGGTTCCTCTCTTCTGTCTCCATACCTACACCACACAACAAACCCAAAACTCTCATCAAGCTTCGCTTTTTCACCGCACACACAGGGGAAACTGAAAAATGAAGAAACAAAATCCCAATTCGAGTTTTGGGGGTGGGGGAAATTGCAGAAGGTGGTTGACAAAGGATGAATACCAAAGTGTTTGGATTGCCTCCAACCTCAAGATCTATGCCTCGGAAGACACAATCCTCTCTGAAAACCACGCTGCAAGATGAAACCCAGAGAAAGGGTCAGAACAAGGAGCACGAGAAGAGAACAAAAGAGACCCTTTAACGTTAACAAGAAGAAAACTTACAATGATACAAATTCACGTGCAGGGATGAAGAACGTGTGTGGGTGTGCGATTTCCTCTGCAAACAACAAAAAGAGATAGAAATCACAGATCTTCTCTGTTGTTAGGTTTATTCCTTTAGAAACGTATTTTCTTTTCTTTTCTTTTGATTCTTACTCTCCTTCTCCACACACCTCTCTTATCAGAAGTGGTGTATGTACTTGTGTGTGGCGCTTTCTCTCTATCTCTCTGAGAGTGAAATAGAGGAGTTTGAGGGTTATTCTTCTTCTTGTTCTTCTTCTCTTCTCTTGTGTTGTGTAAATATGCATTGTTGTTGTGTGTATTTATCCCTCTTGTGGAGTGATGGGAAAACTAGAGAGAATCAGAGCCGTTGGATGAGGGTTTGGTGATTGATCACAGTTTTGGGGGACCCGCACCCTCTCAGACTCTTCTTCCCTCTTTTCCCAATAATTGTCAAACATAAAATTAAATAACCTAAATTAATGGTTTTGTATTGTTATGTTGGAGTAGGAGATGGATGGAAGTTATCAGACTGGGCCTGCCCCAATCCAACGGAATTGGGCTTATATTTGGGCCTCGTCTTCTTTCAACACTCCGCATTAAATTAAATTAAAAAAAATAACGTAACTTGTCTTCAGGTCATATTATCAACCGTCATCTAAAAAAAACTTCCTCTTTTTTTAACCCTAAACATCTATACTAATATATAAAGTATAAGTATACTAATACTAATATAAAAAGGGAATACTTGGATGTATAACTAACTATCTTTGATCTCTACTTTTTAATAGATAATTATACCCCTCAAACATAAAAAAAATCTTATATATTCTTTCTAAATAATTACACACAATCTTTTAATATTTTATCTATGTATAATTATTAGAGACACGAAGTGCCTTGACTCTTTTAGTAAAGGAAAAATAGGATATCGACTATCACTAATTACTATATTTTTAATAGCAAATTAGTTACTGGTTAATTAGTTAATTTTGATAATAATTATTTTAAAAGTGAAATTAAGCATATTTTTAATTAATTAATAATTTTAACTTTATTTTGACGATATTTATTCATTAACTAAGAAATTACATATAATAAGAGAAATTATCTTTCTATTTTGATTTTTTTATTTATATACATGCATATGAATGTATGAACTTTTAGTGAAAAAATTACACCTTCAACCGATCAAAATTTCTCTTTTATATATTAAAATAATTATTATTTATATTGATATCTATTATATTAAAAAAAAAAAGATAACTTCTCATATATCTATTAGTGAATCATTATATCCCTCGAATGTTAAAAAAAGGTAACTTCACATATCTTTTCTAATTAATCGCTTACAACCATCTAATATCTTATCTACATAATTGTTACAAGCACGAAGTGTTCCAATCTTTCTAGTAAAACATAAATAATTATATACTAAGAGTGACTTTACTATATGTAACATTGTGAATTTTAGGACTTATAGTTGATTTTATTTAATTACATGTTATTGTGGTTGATTGTTGTTCTGTGTTGAGAGACTTTGAAATTAAGGTATTCCTTTTGAGTTTTGTGTTGACCTTAAGGGGAAAAATATATAAGATTTTTGTTTAGAATTGAATTTCATAAGTTCAACTCTTTAGAAACTTAGAGAGAGGATCTATAGAGATATGCTTTGAAGATCGTAAGTTCTCTTTATCTCTAAACCGTCTCTTATGAAAGTGAGTCTTCCTCGGAGCCTCGTTCTTCTTGTGTTATTGTGGATTCAGGTTTGTAGAGCCATGAATCAAAAGTGTTAAGTCGATGTGGAGTCATTTCGTTGTTGCTCATGGTTCTCTTTCTCTTTCCCCGACTCACGTCGATTCCGAGGTAAGGGAAGTTAGTGATTTGTTAATTTTTGTGTTGTAGTTGGTGATTCATTGTGTGGATTCATCTATGATTCGCCATGTTGGATTGAATTCCATGAGAATGACTTTTGCTTGGGTTGAGTTTTGGTTGTTCTTGTAGTTTCTCATGAGTTGACTATGATTTTGATCCTTGATGGTTGCATGTTTATGGGGTTGGAAATGAGTCTTACATGTTGTATATATGTTATATTCCTGTTTGCATGTGGATGGGCTTTTGGATTTTAGGTGGATTAGGCGGATTCGATTTCTGCATAAGTGTAAAAACTAATATCACACCATGCACGCCTCATGGCGTCCAGCATGATTCATATTAGAAGCTTTCTGTCTCAATCAAGTCGAGCGTGGGATTGATGGTGTCGAATGTGTGTTAGGAAGAAGTCTTTGACTTAGTCATGCCAGACGTAGTTTGAATGAAGCTAAGTGAGGAAAGAAAAACATCTCTGATTTGGTGACATTAGGCCTCAGGTTGAGTGGAACCCAACGTGGCTAAGCCAAAACTCTTTGTCTAAATGACACTGAGTGCTAGTATGGTGATTTCAAGCATGAGTCAAGCAAAGAGTCTCTACCTGAAATAAGGTCGGGTGTGAAACTTTGACACGCTAGGCATGAGGTCCCAAGGGCCTCTACCTTATCCACACTAGGCATAAGTTATGTAGCGTTGGTGTGGACGAGACAAATAGCTCCTTGCCTCAATGGCACCAAGCATGGGTTGTGTGGAATTAAGCGCTAATTGTTGGATGGAAACTTGTTGTTTATTTCCATGAATGGTGAATACGAGTATAATAGTGTTGCCTATTGCATGTTGTAAATTGATAAATGTTGTTCATGCTATTTACATTGATCTAGGATGATGTTTATAGATGATGACTAATTGAAAGTTAAGTTAAGTTGTATGTTGTAAAGTTGAGAAGCTATGTTTATACATGATGCATCATGTTGTATCTTGTTGAGATGGTGACATTGTTAATGCTTAAGGCATAGGTGTTGAAAGTTGTGTTGATCAACCTAGGACTAGAGGATAGATTGTTTTAAAGTTGCATATCTCATTGTGAAGATATTGTGTTATGGTGCTCTAAGAGACCAAATTGTTGAAAACCTTTCTCAAAAAGTTGATCCTTGAAGAGGATAGTTAAGTCTCCTATAAGATCTTAGTTGATGCGGTATGTGGATCAAGCCAAGACATACCAACTACAAGCGACCACAATATAGGGGTCAAGTCGAGCAATACTGATTACAAGTAACCAACATGAGTAAAGTACAAAGTTGAGGGCTTAATCCCTAACTGAGTATCGAAAGGGTGTAGTATTTTAAGGGTAGTCGGTGGGCCAATCCCATAAGAGGCTTAGTTAAGCTAGTTAATATTGTGGTAGGCTCATATCCAAGTTTTTATTCTATACCAAGAATACTATACTTTCTATTTTAAGTGGTGATATCCAAGAAATCATGTTGTAGGGACTGATATCCCATTTGACTATTAATTTAACCAGTGTAAAAAGATCGGGTTGCTGGTTCGATAGGGTCAAGCCATTTCAATTGTTTGCCTATGTTGTAAGAGATCTCTATAGTTGAAATGAATAACGATGCATTAGTTGATGGTTATGCATATGATGTGTTGATTTGGTTGTGTTGATCATATGCAATAGTGGTAATGTTGATTGTGTTGTGGTGTTGAATTTAGTTGAATATGGGATTATATGATTGATGCACATATCTACTATTGTTATGTTGACTCTATGAACTCTAACTTACCCTTATTTGTTTCCATGTGAGTAGATTGTGATGATCATACTTGCTATAGGAGTATAGTAGAGATAGGTTTAAGGTGTTGTACAATGGAGGCCTTTTGGTAGATGGTAGAGTTGATGTATTTTTTGTGTTACTAGTGTGTAGCTTCTGTATATGCATTGCTTGACCGGTAGCTTAGGATGCATATTTGGCATTTACTGGATTTCTGTACTTATATTGTTTAATACTTTTTTAGTTGTTTTATACTTATGTGTGCATGTTATATAGTACATATCCATGTACTTGTAGATATAATTTTAAATGTTTAGTTATTTTCTGCTACTTATTATCGAGTCGTACAGTGTAGGGATCATGATGAATTGTTACACTATAAGTTGTCTTGAAAAAAAAACCTTAACTACGAGTTGTTTATGGGATGTAGGGGTGTAAGCAATAATAACTCACCTGTGAACTCAACCTACTTGAATCAACACAATTACAAATTTTTAAATTGGGTTGGGCCATCGAGTTGAGTTGAGTAATTTTTTACATTACCTAATTATAATTGAGTTGGATAATGAGTTAAGAGACTTGCTACGATTAAATCTAAACTAACTTGAGTTATAATAAATTATTAAATTAAATTTAAAAATATTACAGAAAGCACAATGCATAATATACTCCTCTAGATATATTTAATTATATTTTTTAACCAAATATTGTAAGAATGATTTGATTGACTAAATACTTGAAGAAGGCAAAAAGTAAGGATAATAATTTAATTCCACTTATTATACAATTCAAAATTTGTTACGTTAGTGACATAGTGTTTGCTTGTTTGAAATATTTGTAATTTTTAATATATCTTTGTTATAATGTTGTTTATACTTTTAATCATGTATTAAAATTAAATTGAGTATTTTTTTGCTAAATTATACTTTTCATCCCTCTATTTATTTTTAAGATTCAATTTGATTTCACTATTTTCAAATGATTCAACTTGGTACTCTAATTTTTTCAAATTTTTTTTAATGTTATCCTTTCATCTAAATTGACACTAACTTCATTAATGAAATTGGATGGAATAATAATATTGAACATCATTTGAAAATTAGAGGATCAAATTAAAATATTTAAAAACAATTGGAGCAAATTAGACATTCCATAAATATAAGGATTAAATTGAACAAAAAGTTATTAAATATTTTTTTGTCTGGATAAATTTAAACTTTCTTTTATCTATTTAATAATTTAATTTATTAGATAACTCCTTCATTAATTTGTGATCATTTTTAAATTTCAAGTACTTTATTTGTTGTTATTCAAGATCTTGTAAAGTAAATAAAAAAAATTTTAAATTTATTTAGACAAAAAATGTTAAGATAAATTTTTATTCAGTTTGATCCTATTATTTTAAAAATGTTCAATTTGATTCTTTCATTTTCAAAAAAATGCTAATGTTGTCCTTTTATATAATTTTATTAACATCGTTAATGTCAATTTGAGCGGAAGAACAACATTGAACATATTTTAAAAATTAAATGACAAAACTAAACCTTTTAAAAATAATGAAACTAAATTAAATCTTAAAAATAAATAATATAATTTATAATATAATTTAACCAATTTTTTTTTATTTCTTATTTGTTTCAACTTTTAAAATATATGCTTTTAATTGCTCAATCCAA